CACTCGTGGTGTGTGCGCGCCCTCCTTCCCCCCCCCCCCTTCCTGCATTCCCCTACACACATCCTCCTCAGGAACTGGCGTCCGCACGCGCGCCCCCCTCAGGCGCAGATGCACATGGGCCTGCCGCGCCTCTCGCCTTCGCTGGCCCATGTGTGTCGCCTCTGCCCTCTCTCGCCCACCGCCACAAGCCACCCCGCAGGGGGCCGATGCGCATGTGGGTGTGGGCGTGCAGGCGAAGGGGGAAGCCCCGGAGGGGCGGCGGTCACCAAAGAGCCGAAAAGGGGCGCAGGGGAGAGGGGGCCTCTCCCGCGCCACAGACGACGGTTTACTCCGCGCCTCCCGCTCCCCTCTGTACCTTCAACCTCTTCTCCCTTTCACACCCCCCTCTCTGGACTAGAGCGCAGGACGCGCCCTGCCGCCCCTCCCTCCTCCTCTTCTCCTCCCTTCCCCCCCCCCAAATATGTTACACTAAAAGACTTCCCAACTTGCTTGCTTGCTATCCCGGGGACGGGGGGGACCCGACTGCCGGCCGGTGTAGTGTGGTTGTGCACCCTTGTTCCTGTGTACCAGGGGCGGCTGTTACCTCCCCTCCCCCGCTGCCTTTTTCGTGCTGCTCTCCCCGGGGAAGAGGGGTCCGCCACTGCCCCGAAGTCCCGCCTTTCATCCTCTCTCCGGGGTGGTGCTCCTCCCGGTCGCCGCACTTCACGGGGGGGGGAGGGGCAAGCCAGCCTCGGTGCGAGGGAGATCAGGGCACACCTGAGCGGGGGGCATCCCCCTGGTGCCCTCCCCAAGCCGGCCGCTCGGCGGGCCGTTCTCTCGCCCTACGGGGTGGGGGGGCATCTCGAGCGCCGGGAGTCCGCGGGCATGGCTCAGCCACCCGACCGGCCAAAGATCGGGTGACCTACACCACCAAGCACCGTGATCACACTCCGCACGGATGACCCGGCCATCGGATCACACGGCCGCGCATTACGAAAGACTGGCTAGACCCCCTGCCACCACACCAGCCTGCGGGGGGGGGGGGGGGCGACCGCTCCGGCCAGAGAAATATACTATCCTGCGCATTGTGTACAAAGCACGTTCATGCGGCCGCTCTCCCCGCCAGCGGGCCCACGCCGGTAGGGGCGGGGGGGCGAGGGAGCAGGCGCAGGAGGGTGTGGAGG